CTAGAACTAGAACTGAACTAGAACTGAACTAGAACTGAACTAGAACTGAACTAGAACTGAACTAGAACTGAACTAGAACTGAACTAGAACTGAACTAGAACTGAACTAGAACTGAACTAGAACTGAACTAGAACTGAACTAGAACTGAACTAGAACTGAACTAGAACTGAACTAGAACTGAACTAGAACTGAACTAGAACTGAACTAGAACTGAACTAGAACTGAACTAGAACTGAACTAGAACTGAACTAGAACTGAACTAGAACTGAACTAGAACTGAACTAGAACTGAACTAGAACTGAACAGAACTGAACCAGAACTTAATTAGAAATGAACTAGAACTGAACTAGAACTGAACTAGAACTGAACTAGAACTGAACTAAAACTGAACTAGAACTGAACTAGAACTGAACTAGAACTGAACTACAACTGAACTAGAACTGAACTGAACTGAACTAGAACTGAACTAGAACTGAACTAAACTGAACTAGAACGGAACTAGAACGGAACTAGAAAGGAACTAGAACTGAACTAGAACTGAACTAGAACTGAACTAGAACGAACTAGAACGGAACTAGAACTGAACTAGAACTGAACTAGAACTGAACTAGAACTGAACTAGAACTGAACTAGAACTGAACTAGAACTGAACTAGAACTGAACAAGAACTGAACTAGAACTGAACTAGAACTGAACTAGAACTGAACTAGAACTGAACTAGAACTGAACTAGAACTGAACTAGAACTGAACTAGAACTGAACTAGAACTGAACTAGAACTGAACTAGAACTGAACTAGAACTGAACTAGAACTGAACTAGAACTGAACTAGAACTGAACTAGAACTGAACTAGAACTGAACTAGAACTGAACTAGAACTGAACTAGAACTGAACTAGAACTGAACTAGAACTGAACTAGAACTGAACTAGAACTGAACTAGAACTGAACTAGAACTGAACTAGAACTGAACTAGAACTGAACTAGAACTGACTAGGAACTGACTAGAACTGAACTAGAACTGACTAGAAGTGAACTAGAACCTGAAATATGAACTGAACTAGAGCTTAACATGACCGAACTAGAATAAAAAAAGCTCACAAAATTTAAAATCCATGCGTTGTTATTGTTGTTATACATTTACACAATAAAGTTTTTGTGGTAAAATGTTCCCGTTGTTTCCGTTCTATGTTGGTTTGGATTTAAACTTTGTGCCGATTCACAAGGCCTTACTGCTTCTAGTTTTAGAATCGAAGAAAATGCTATTTCTGTAACATAATTGAACAAAAATAAATGTCTCTATTTATAAACTTAAATCAATATTGTGACATTACTAAAATATCATAACTAGAACGTGTTTAAGTTATAACACTCCTGAATCTTACACAATTCGAAAAATAAAACTGAAACCTCTAATCAATTATCATATTTTTATCTATTTTTTTACACATTTAACTTATGAAAAAAAAAGTAAAATCAATTTGCTACTTTATCTCTAACTGACACAAACGTAAGTCGTATTATAATAAACGCTTCAAATTTTCAAGATTTCAAGAGAAGAACACACAATAAAGTAAACAAAGTTATGATTAACAATAATTTGTTAATGGAAAATTAAACAACTAAACAAATAGACTTAACAATTGCTACAAAAAAATACGCATTTGAACAATAAAAGAATAATGTAAACTTAAATCGTGTATATAGTACCGGCAGACAGACAACCATAAACTGTATTTATCGGAATTTTCAATTGTTATTGTAAAACTGAGATTGAAATAAGAGCAACAGTAGTGTAACATGTCACTCTAGTAAACGTTCTCGTATAAAATGACAACAACAACAACATTATAATTGATTGTAGCTATTATCACCACTTAGCGTGCAACAGTTTGACTTTCGTACTTGTTATCAATTTTTGTAGTTTTTATTATTGTTGTACTTTTTTTGACAACCATAACAACAATAACATGATATTTTAAAAATATACAGACTAATTTGATTCTGATGGAAACTTTCAAAAGTTCTCTTTCCCTTTTTTTGATAATAGTGATAAAAAGTTATTTTACTCTTTCAATTTAGTTGTGTCTCTTAATGTGATGCACATATTTACATCGGCTGTGCATTTTAAACTGAACTAGAACTCAACTAGAACAGAACTGGAACAGAACTAGAACAGAACTAGAACTGAACTAGAACTGAACTAGAACTGAACTAGAACTGAACTAGAACTGAACTAGAACTGAACTAGAACTGAACTAGAACTGAACTAGAACTGAACTAGAACTGAACTAGAACTGAACTAGAACTAAACTAGAACTGAACTGAACTAGAACTGAACTAGAACTGAACTAGAATTGAACTAGAACTGAACTAGAACTGAACTAGAACTGAACTAGAACTGAACTAGAACTGAACTAGAACTGAACTAGAACTGATCTAGAACTGACTAGAACTAGAACTGAACTAGAACTGAACAGAACTGAACTAGAACTGAACTAGAACTGAACTAGAACTGAACTAGAACTGAACTAGAACTAAACTAGAACTGAAGTAGAACTGAACTAGAACTGAACTAGAACTGAACTAGAACTGAACTAGAACTGAACTAGAACTGAACTAGAACTGAACTAGAACTGAACTAGAACTGAACTAGAACTGAACTAGAACTGAACTAGAACTGAACTAGAACTGAACTAGAACTAAACTAGAACTGAACTGAACTATAACTGAACTAGAACTGAACTAGAATTGAACTAGAACTGAACTAGACTGAACTAGAACTGAACTAGAACTGAACTAGAACTGAACTAGAACTGAACTAGAACTGAACTAGAACTGAACTAGAACTGAACTAGAACTGAACTAGAACTGAACTAGAACTGAACTAGAACTGAACTAGAACTGAACTAGAACTGAACTAGAACTGAACTAGAACTAACTAGAACTGAAGTAGAACTGAACTAGAACTGAACTAGAACTGAACTAGAACTGAACTAGAACTGAACTAGAACTGAACTAGAACTGAACTAGAACTGAACTAGAACTGAACTAGAACTGAACTAGAACTGAACTAGAACCGAACTAGAAACTGAACAAGAACTGACCGAACTGAACAAGAACTGACCTTGAACCGAACTAGAACTGAAATAGAATTGAACTAGAACTGAACTAGAACTGAACTAGAACTGAACTAGAACTGAACTAGAACTGAACTAGAACTGAACTAGAACTGAACTAGAACTGAACTAGAACTGAACTAGAACTGAACTAGAACTAGAACTGACTAGAACTGAACTAGAACTGAACTAGAACTGAACTAGAACTGAACTAGAACTGAACTAGAACTGAACTAGAACTGAACTAGAACTGAACTAAGAACTGAACAAGAACTGACCTTAACCGAACTAGAACTGAAATAGAATAATAGAACTGAATAACTGAACTAGAACTGAACTAGAACTGAACTAGAACTGAACTAGAACTGAACTAGAACTGAACTAGAACTGAACTAGAACTGAACTAGAACTGAACTAGAACTGAACTAGAACTGAACTAGAACTGAACTAGAACTGACTAGAACTGAACTAGAACTGAACTAGACTGAACTAGAACTGAACTAGAACTGACACTAGAACTGAACTAGAACTGAACTAGAACTGAACTAGAACTGAAACTAGAACTGAACTAGACTGAACTAGAACTAGACTGAACTAGAACTGAACTAGAACTGAAACTAGAACTGAACTAGAACTGAACTAGAACTGAACTAGAAACTGAAACTAGAACTGAACTAGAACTGAACTAGAACTGAACTAGAACTGAACTAGAACTGAACTAGAACTGAACTAGAACTGAACTAGACTGAACTAGAACTGAACTAGAACTGAACTAGAACTGAACTAGAACTGAACTAGAATGAACTAGAACTGAACTACGAACTGAACTAGAACTGAACTAGAACTGAACTACAACTGAACTACAACTGAACTACAACTGAACTAGCAACTGAACTAGAACTGAACTAGAACTAGAACTGAACTAGAACTGAACTAGAACTGAACTAGAACTGAACTAGAACTGAACTAGAACTGAACTAGAACTGAACTAGAACTGAACTAGAACTGAACTAGAACTGAACTAGAACTAGAACTAGAACTAGAACTGAACTAGAACTGAACTAGAACTGAACTAGAACTGAACTAGAACTGTACTAGAACTGAACTAGAACTGAACTAGAACTGAACTAGAACTGAACTAGAACTGAACTAGAACTGAACTAGAACTGAACTAGAACTGAACTAGAACTGAACTAGAACTGAACTAGAACTGAACTAGAACTGAACTAGAACTGAACTAGAACTGAACTAGAACTGAACTAGAACTGAACTAGAACTGAACTAGAACTGAACTAGAACTGAACTAGAACTGAACTAGAACTGAACTAGAACTGAACTAGAACTGAACTAGAACTGAACTAGAACTGAACTAGAACTGAACTAGAACTGAACTAGAACTGAACTAGAACTGAACTAAAACTGAACTAGAACTCAAAAAATTTCCTTAAAAACCTCGATTCTTTATATATTCTTTAAAAATTACCTGAATGCATTCATTTCTCTTTTAAGATCCTTTCAGTGCATTTCAAACTGTTAGATATTTTCTCTTTAGACATTTATCACACGTTGTTTTTGTTGTGTACAATTTTCATTTATTATATAACTGTGTGTGTGTTTTCGGATGGACCATGTGTATTTGTAATTTGCTCGATCACTCGGTATTTTTGTTTTTCTTTTTAAATATTTTACCCGTATTGTTGTTGTTATTCGTTCATTAATTTTTCCACATGTTGATCGTTTAGTTTTCGTAAAGTGCTCTTTCTTCTTTTTAATAATTTTGTTATTGTAAAATCACACATTTGTATGTTTGTATAATGTGTATGTGTGTGTTTTGTTTTGAACACAAAATTTTCTTCTAAGAGAACTTCTATAAACGTCAATTTCACTTACGACTCGGTTACGTACGGACGGTTATAATGATCGCTCTAAAATAAACGTTAAATTTGAAAAAAAAAATAAAAAAATTTTCAATAACGCTTTTGAAGAAAGCCACGGTTTGTGTGAATGATAAATTTAAAAAAAAATAAATAATAAAATGTTAATTTTTTTGTTTGTGCTTCCATTAATTTACTAATAAAAGCTTAATAATTTTTTTATTAAAAATAAATTAAGAAAAATTAAATTTTAATAAAACGAAAACAATTTTAAATGCTTTAAACAAAAAAGAAATTTATTTTATGAGAAAATAAAAAGTGCTTTTTTTGAAAATAATTGCTTAAAGAAATTTAAATTAAATAGAAAAAGTTTATTAAATGTTTTAAATTTTTTCAACGATTATGATCTTTTCCCTGGGATTAATATAATTGGATTACATATTCCCCTAAATTTGGATTACTTTGGTCGATTTTGCTAACAACTAAAAGGTAAGATATAGTTTTGAAACGAAATCCAGAGACTATGTTCTATATGAAAACTAGTCAGGAATTACGTCTCTATTCCCTTAATGGAGACTATACAGTCTAAATATTATAATCCCAAACTAAACTTTAGTTTACAAATTCCGAATATATTGTTTGAAAATCTCTGAATTTTAAGACTTCTTCGAGAAATCCTCTGAATACGTGAAATATTAAACCGAAACAATTTTTTATCACAATTAATTTAATAAACCCTCAACTAACCGCAACAAAATTTTATAAATTGCTGAACAAAATTCTTAAACATTTCGACCTTGACTTAACAAACTGAAAAATTCTTCAAAATAACCCTTTCAATCTACAAACGTTAATCTCACAAATTAACCTCAAATTTATCGTGAACTTTTTTAATAAAAAAGTAAATTTTAATTAAATTTATTTATTTATACATTTTTATCAATTAACTTACTTTTTCAAAACCCCCCCCAAAAAACAAAACTTAATGATTACGATTTAGTATGAATGAAATATGACTCAATATATTGTGATAAAAATTTTTAGAGAAATATGAAAAAAATAATGCACAATGGAAAAACAAAACAAAAATTTATCACATCAACGATATAAAGTAGTTTATTTCAATTAAAAACAATTAAGAAAATAATAATTCTTAAAGAATACAATAACAAATATTGTAGAAACTATTTTGTTCAAGCTCTCTTGCTCAACGGCTTGAAAACGAGTGCTGGAAGTGAAGAAAAATAAAAACAATAACATTATTTAACTGAAGATAATTGGCAAATTAGTTTTGAATCATATAACTATAGGTCTTTACAAGAAATGACTTTCGTTAACAAATTAGACGAAGCTCTGCGCTTGTTTTCCATTTAAAAAACATGCTCAGACCTCCGAGAACTTTTGCCTGGAAAATAAATTTTCGAGACTGGGCTATACCTAAGCTATAGTTCAGTTCTAGAACTAGAACAGAAATAGAGCAGAACCAGAATAGAACCAGAACAAAACTAGAATAGAACTAGAACAGAACTAGAACAGTTCTAGTTCACTTCCAGTTCAGTTCTAGTTCAGTTCTAGTTCAGTTCTAGTTCAATTCTAGTTCAATTCTAGTTCAGTTCTAGTTCAGTTCTAGTTCAGTTCTAGTTCAGTCTAGTCAGTTCTAGTTCAGTTCTAGTTCGTTCTAGTTCAGTTCTAGTTCAGTTCTAGTTCAGTTCTAGTTCAGTTCTAGTTCTAGTTCAGTTCTAGTTCAGTTCTAGTTCAGTTCTAGTTCAGTTCTAGTTCAGTTCTAGTTCAGTTCTAGTTCAGTTCTAGTTCAGTTCTAGTTCAGTTCTAGTTCAGTTCTAGTTCAGTTCTAGTTCAGTTCTAGTTCAGTTCTAGTTCAGTTCTAGTTCAGTTCTAGTTCAGTTCTAGTTCAGTTCTAGTTCAGTTCTAGTTCAGTTCTAGTTCAGTTCTAGTTCAGTTCTAGTTCAGTTCTAGTTCAGTTCTAGTTCAGTTCTAGTTCAGTTCTAGTTCAGTTCTAGTTCAGTTCTAGTTCAGTTCTAGTTCAGTTCTAGTTCAGTTCTAGTTCAGTTCTAGTTCAGTTCTAGTTCAGTTCTAGTTCAGTTCTAGTTCAGTTCTAGTTCAGTTCTAGTTCAGTTCTAGTTCAGTTCTAGTTCAGTTCTAGTTCAATTCTAGTTCAGTTCTAGTTCAGCTCTAGTTCAGTTCTAGTTCAGTTCTAGTTCAGTTCAGTTCTAGTTCAGTTCTAGTTCAGTTCTAGTTCAGTTCTAGTTCAGTTCTAGTTCAGTTCTAGTTCAGTTCTAGTTCAGTTCTAGTTCAGTTCTAGTTCAGTTCTAGTTCAGTTCTAGTTCAGTTCTAGTTCAGTTCTAGTTCAGTTCTAGTTCAGTTCTAGTTCAGTTCTAGTTCAGTTCTAGTTCAGTTCTAGTTCAGTTCTAGTTCAGTTCTAGTTCAGTTCTAGTTCAGTTCTAGTTCAGTTCTAGTTCAGTTCTAGTTCAGTTCTAGTTCAGTTCTAGTTCAGTTCTAGTTCAGTTCTAGTTCAGTCAGTCTAGTTCAGTTCTAGTTCAGTTCTAGTTCAGTTCTAGTTCAGTTCTAGTTCAGTTCTAGTTCAGTTCTAATTCAGTTCTAGTTCAGTTCTAAGTTCAGTTCTAAGTCAGTTTAGTTCAGTTTCTAGTTTCAGTTCTAGTTCAGTTCTAGTTCAGTTCTAGTTCAGTTCTAGTTCAGTTCTAGTTCAGTTCTAGTTCAGTTCTAGTTCAGTTCTAGTTCAGTTTCTAGTTCAGTTCTAGTTCAGTTCTAGTTCAGTTCTAGTTCAGTTCTAGTTCAGTTCTAGTTCAGTTCTAGTTCAGTTCTAGTTCAGTTCTAGTTCAGTTCTAGTTCAGTTCTAGTTCAGTTCTAGTTCAGTTCTAGTTCAGTTCTAGTTCAGTTCTAGTTCAGTTCTAGTTCAGTTCTAGTTCAGTTCTAGTTCAGTTCTAGTTCAGTTCTAGTTCAGTCTCTAGTTCAGTTCTAGTTCAGTTCTTGTTCAGTTCTAGTTCAGTTCTAGTTCAGTTCTGTAGTTCAGTTCTAGTTCAGTTCTAGTTCAGTTCTAGTTCAGTTCTAGTTCAGTTCTTGTTCAGTTCTAGTTCAGTTCTAGTTCTAGTTCAGTTCTAGTTCAGTTCTAGTTCAGTCTAGAAGATATTTGGTCTCAGAAATATGAGTCTGTTTTTAGTTTAGGAAACAGTCTTATAAGATTGAGACTGTTTTCATTTGAAAACTCGATTCAGATTGATGTTGTTCCTGGAATTAGTCTCAGAATGATTGATTATAACTTCCTGTTAATAAAAGAAGAATAAATTTTAATTTCAATCGATATCTTCTAATTAAATTTTGTACCCTAAATGGGGGATAAATATTAAATCTTAACTCTCCGTATACGTTTTCATCCCCTCTGATATCAACTATTTCTTGTCACCTAATTACTTTTTAAATTTAGATTTCTTCTAAAAAAATTTTTTTATTTCACTTTTATTTTAAAAATCCCCCAAAAGAAATGTTCTATTTTTAAGCAACAATTTTATTTAAGCTTAAAATTTGTGTTTTCTATGTAGCGTTTGTCGTGTATTTTTCAAAAAAAAGTGAAAAATTAGTACATAATACTAAAAAGAAAAAATAAATCATACACTCACAAAAACTAATCTGTTACAAATACCCACATACACGAACGAATTTATACGCACGAGTTAGAAATGTCAAACACAACCACAATTTCCTAATCACTCTCTACACACAGGCTCTCACGTAATCCATAATTTTGTACTCATACTCTCATCACCTCATGCTAAGATAACACCTGTTATTATCAGCTAAAAACAAATGATCATATTTATTATTTTATGACAATTTCAGAGTAAATTAAATATTATATACTGAAACACTTTGATATGAAGCTGTGAGTACTATTTTTACAAAGATCATTAAGATTTTATTATCCGTTAAAATTATGAATATTCTCTTTTTTGTCCAACTCGGACTAATTCTATCTTATTGTGTCAAACCAACATCTTTTGGGGGATTTTATTTTTCTGTTTTCTGCTAAATTATTTAAAATGCTCTTTATTTCTGTTTGTGATTTGTTTGTCCAGTGATCGGTTTATTATAGGAGGGCAGGCGGTAAAGTGTTTTTAAAAGTTCAGTTCCATTTCAGTTCTAGTATAGTTCTAGTTCAGTTTTAGTTCAGTTCTAGTTCATTTCTAGTTCATTTCTAGTTCAGTTCTAGTTCTAGTTCAGTTCTAGTTCAGTTCTAGTTCAATTCTAGTTCAGTTCTAGTTCAGTTCTAGTTCAGTTCTAGTTCAGTTCTAGTTCAGTTCTAGTTCAGTTCTAGTTCAGTTCTAGTTCAGTTCTAGTTCAGTTCTAGTTCAGTTCTAGTTCAGTTCTAGTTCAGTTCTAGTTCAGTTCTAGTTCAGTTCTAGTTCAGTTCTAGTTCAGTTCTAGTTCAGTTCTAGTTCAGTTCTAGTTCAGTTCTAGTTCAGTTCTAGTTCAGTTCTAGTTCAGTTCTAGTTCTAGTCAGTTCTAGTTCAGTTCTAGTTCAGTTCTAGTTCAGTTCTAGTTCAAGTTCTAGTTCAGTTCTAGTTCCAGTTCTAGTTCAGTTCTAGTTCAGTTCTAGTTCAGTTCTAGTTCAGTTCTAGTTCAGTTCTCATTCTAGTTCAGTTCTAGTTCGGTTCTAGTTCACTCTCCATCAAAAAGTACTAAGTTTAACATGTTTGCAAATAAAAGTTGCAAAGGATCCTATATAGGGTATTTACCTTCTGATGGACTTCCAGATGTCCCTCGTAACTGGTGCGTCTGTACATATGAGGGTGAGTGTAAACATATTTTTCAATTTATTTATTTTTTTGTTGTTTCTCTCTTTCCATTTGCACGATCAATTTAAATCAATTAACGTTGGAATTGACTTGGGTTTTAGTTGTCTGATTGTCGGCTTTCTAGTTATTTCCCATATACACGTTTTTTTCTTTGGAATATGTTCTTTTGTTATTTATTTTACATTTTAAAAAGAAAATTAAACAACTTGTTGATTGTATTTAATTTAATTAAGAAAATAGTAATCATAAAAATATTGTATAATATATTTTGTATGTTCTGCTAGTGTAGTAGAATTTACATTCGTATGAAGATCATCATTAGTTGTGAAGAAAATAGAAAGGGAAAGTCGAACGATTTAAACACATTTATCAATAAATATTTGTGTGTTTTGAATGTTTAGTATATAATGGGTTTTTGTTAAATAAATATTTTAGTAAAATCTGACAGACTATGATATAGAATCAGGCATTATTGTATTTGTACTTAAAATGTTGTGTTTGTTTGCACTTTAATTTCAAAATACTGATAAGATTTTGAAAATTTTACATTTGTTTACAAAAAACTAAATGTATGTAGTATACAGGTTAAACATTTTAACGAAATCGGTTCGGTAGACAATTTAGAGCTTTGAGCCAAATTGGGACTATCCAACTCCATAT